AGTTGTTAGCAGATGAGCAAGTCTGCTAGCAAACCTTGTTGACACTATTAATTTGAAATTGAAATATGATCGCCTTGTGTCCTGTGTCCTTTACACTCAGAATGAGTGTAAAGTTTGACTGCTCGTGTCAATGAATCCAAAGAAATGCCAGTAAGAAAGAGCAAAGCATTACCAAAAAGAGAACATAAAATCTCCCTTCTTGAAAATGTATGATAATTCAATGGTAACAAAATTCTCATGACATTTTCTTATTTCAAAATGGATTGAGATTAGTAATAGCTGATAAACTATGTGAGAGCATGGCCTTGAAGATAGTATGACATCAAATGTTAACAGGTTGATCTATGAAGTTGCTGACAATGTATTGATTGTATCTTTATATCTCATTATTACATTTTAAAAATCATATTCTAACATTTTCCTCCTTTTATTTCCCTGCTTTTTTCCACGTCACTGTGCTATTGTAGCTTCCTCTGCATGTCTAGTCCTCTTTTCCCAACTACTGTTTTGTTCTGCACCCATTCAGCTTTTTTTTTTCCGTGTTCTTCCATATGTATAGTACCTTGGTGTCTGTTCTATCCACTGTGAAAAGAGAAGTCTTGTTTTCTCTCTGGACCTAGGCAAATTATTTCTTCATGCCTTTACTCTTGTGAGATGAATAACCAGACACACCAGTGACCCAAACTAAAAATGTGGTATTTATATCGTAGTAAAAAGGTTGAGTAATGGAACATTGAAGTTTGACACGCTGTTAACTCAGTTTTATGAAGAGTTTTGAAGTTTCTTCATCCTTTTGTTCAACTGTTGTTTGACCACTTTCATAGAGACAGGTTACTAGATCACATGAGATCACTGGTTTATATTATACAGAATAAATAACTTGAAAGTATTACTAATAAATCATAATTGTTAAGAGTCATTTAAGCAATTATGAACTTTCTTTTACACCACATGTCAGTCAGAATGAAATATTTGAATCTTTACTGTGCCCTAAGATTTAACTGTTAAAATTAATATTAACTCCAGACTAAATGTAAATAGGTAATGATTACATAGGATTCTGTGTTTTCTATTTCCTGTTGTTGTGTGCTTACACAGTCATTCTTCAGTTCTAATCTCATTTAAGATGATGTCCATGATCTCAAGAAGATGATATGAGTTTTAAGGAGAAATTTTAATACCTCTTTAATGAAAGCCTAAAAAACATTGCTTCTATTTCACTGCGTAGCTCTGAGGAAGAATCTTCTTGGCAAAACTCTTAGCTCTCCTTTTCAGTCAAGGAACATATGTGTGGATGAGGAGTTTGCTGAGTTAGAGGCATGGAAAATGCTGACAGCTTGGCAGCAGCTCTGAGTTTTTCAATAACATGATAACTACTTTTGTTCTGTTCCAGGAAGCAGCTTCTGAAACACTGCTCTGAATCGTGCATTTAAGGATCCTAGGAGCTCTAACTTTCTCTCTGTTTGGTGTAATGTAGATAACAAATATGATGATGGAATTACAAGCTCACAGGACATTTTATGTAGTCTTGCTGTTGAACTAAGTAGCTTTTCATCAGAATCAAGTTTATGTTGTAAACTTGGAGATGAACTTGCTTTTGGAATTTGCAAGACCATTGCAAATTCAGTCATAGGATACTACCCTGTGCAAACAGAGGAAAAAGTGAAACTAGGTAAAATATTAATAGACAAATCTACAGCTGACACAGACTTTTAGTTAGATTTTATTTTAAGCAGATATTTGAAATCAATGGAGCAGCAGTATCTTCAACTTAGAACAGCATAAATGGTCAGTCGGGATACTTAGAGCCCTTCTTTACTGGAACAAACCTTTATTAATCATGATATTTAAAATATTATTTTACATTAAAATATATTGCTTTGCAGAAAAGGTTTATTCAGTTCGCCTTGGTTGAAGGTGGCACTGAAAATTAAACTTCGATTGTTTATTTTGTGTCACGTACAAAAAGTCCCATGCAAGTCATGCAAGTTACAAATAAGAAGTTACTTGGATAGAGAGTTTTCTAGCAAAATATAGCTGGTGTCTACCATCAAAATACTTATTCAAGTTACTTTGCAACTCTAAAGGGAGAGATTTGTATTTCCAAAGTTAAATTTGACATCCTGGCTGTATACTCAATGGAGGACACAGCTGATGAAGATGATTATCACCTAACTTGGGCACCTGCTTTGACTCACCTGAATTGAATGTATTTATTTTTCTTTGCTGATTACAGGAGAAAACTTGCCTTGACCAATGGCTCAGTTTTAGATTAATTAACTACGGTTAGATGGGTGCTATCATTTTTCTTCTAAACTTCTGAGGAGAAGAAGAAGAGCTGATCAAAGCTGGGGTCTGATCCTAAGCCAAAATTCTGGTGTATGAAATGTGTGATGCTTCTGACAGTTCTGGAACAGCTGTTTCACTCTATTGTTTATGTGAGGTTTGCAGTTGTAGACTAGGGGATTATTGATGGTTTACTAATGAAACATATAATTCGTTGTAGTTCAACAGGTAGGTTAAATACAATGCAATGCGTTCATTTTACATAACAAATCACTGGAGTGGAACTAGTTTGAAGTATGTTTTTAAAGCTCAATTCAGTTCAGTAGCAGTCTAGACCTGAAATATTTAATATCTACTCTCAATGGAGATAGGAGAGAACCTAGAAAAAATGCCAGACAAAACCCTCTGATAAATTATGTTGTGCTGGGAAATTACAGTTGCTTGAAATTTTTCTGTTCTCTTTACTTACTTTTACACAGTTTTGTCTGTTTAGTAGTCTGTTATGCTAGCAATGTATTTCTGAAACATGCATTTCTTTCTCTTAAAAAGTAATGCCCAACTCCAGTGTAAAATGTTTCTAGTTTCCTGTCAGAGAGCACTGGTAAACTCCCAAAAGACCAAAAATCTGTGTTTTCAGGGCTGGCTTGACTCTGCATTCACTTGAGTGAAAACCGGAAGTAGTGTTGTATTGACTCTCTTACATGGGTACTTGTGTGTGTTGTGCTAAGAAAGACAACAACAAGGATAGAAATATTCAGTGGGACAGCTTTCTATTAGGCTTTTTAAAAGCATAGCTCCAGCTTAGAATATATTCATATGCTGCTATTTAAATTTTACTGACATATCATGAACTAAACATTTTAATGAAGATTTATTATTTTCACTGAGCACAGTACTTCATTTGAAATTGAATTGTAAAATGTGATGTTCTTTACTGCATTCATGGTTAATGTAATGCTGTCAAGCCAGTGTATTTTTATTGAAAAGTTGCTCTTTTTCAACATCTTATCACCACAAGGATTTTCTATTATTTGATTTGAGCATGTGTAACAAAAATATTGGAATGTATTGATTAGAGTGTACAAGTCAAGCTTCTGTTCTTAACTAGATGTTCAACACAAGCCACAGCTGGAAATGAGGTGGAATTAACAGGGAAAACACAACTACCGGTAGAGCCACAGCTGAGTGTTTCATGTTTGTTTGTGTAAACTCAGCTTTGACCACCCATCAGGCTGTGGCCTGTATTGGTTTATCCTGAACATATTGTCTGTAGCTGAAACCTCCTGGCAGACGAATTGTTTTCTAAGTGCGGTTTGTGGCCTGAAGTGGAATAACTTTGTGGGCTGAGTCCAGTTTCTGGAAACCCTGTTATGAATGTTCCTTCCTAGAAGGTGTGAGTAGAAAGCCAAGGAGGCTCTTCTGGTACCTCTGAACATCACATAAGCACGTGGATGAAACAGGACAGCCATATATTCCTCTGTTACCATACTAGTCATTCATTTGTGGGTTACAAATATAAGAACATATCTTTTTCATGCATTCCAAATGTTAAAAAAACCCAAAAACCAACCAAACAAAACCAAAACTGTTTGACCAATTAACAGCAAAATTATATGACTCTTTCTTAGATTAAATGTTTACAATCACTAATTTAAACAAAAACAATAGCTCTGTAGGAAAAAAAAAAACACCTCTATTCAAATCTGACTGACACTGGCAATCTATGCTGATTGTGCTTAAATATATGAACATATATAGATAAAATATATATGCAGATGTATGTAATATGTATAATGAAATGAGTATACATTGTAGAACCACATGTAGAGGGCATTAAAAAAATCTATATGTTCCATCTATTTGTGTCTGGACATATGGGTATAGCTGCTACTAAGATTTTTTGCCACTAACAAAATTGGCTAATACTAAATGATCTTTGGAAATAAAGTCAATGAGATAGACTAGAAAAAAAAATCTTTTTTTGTAGATGTTTGTATCCATACTTGCCTATAGATTTTGCAGAACAAATGTTAGGATGAACAACAAAACAAAAAAAATTTGCTGCTTGGAGTAATTCTATTGCCAACAACACACTTTAAATCATTGGATACTATTTTTAAACCATAGATCTGAAGTCAACAGTTGTTGTGTTTGTATTTTTTTTTTTTAATTTGGATTAGGAATGCGCTTTGAAATTAATTTCTGGATCATGTGCACTTATCATGCTTTGGTTCACATCACTAAGCGGTCTAGGAGTACACAAGCTGTATTCTTTTTGGATTAAACTAAATTGGAAAATGTGCTACAGGAGGGCAGTTTATGTACTTCAGCGTGTAGTGCTTCATCTGCACACGGGAACAATTTAGGACTAGTAGAAATTAAGACCTCTAAGATGCATATATTGTGCACTAACTTAAACTCTACGGTTCTGTTCTTATTGCATTGCAGTACTTGCTATTGTACACAAAGCCAGTGTGGTATGAAACAAAGAAATCAACTTTTGTCTGAGACAAGACCTCTTCTTTTCTTCCAAACTTTGTCTTTTTCCTTTGCAGCATAGGTTTCATGAGATCCTTGCATTCAGGAACTCACAGGCTAATTAAAACAAGCAAAATAAATGTAGGATGATAGCACAGAAACAACTTATTGAAATATGAATATAGATGTTATGGCACAAACTAAATCTAACAAAACTTGATTTTTTTTTTTTCTAGGAAAGAACAGTAACAATTAGAAGACAGACTGTCGGAGGTTTTGGATTAAGTATAAAGGTAGGATGATTTTTTTTCTCTATTCTTCCACATTAAACAAAAAGTATTATTGTATATAGTTAATGTTACTTTTAATCAGGACAACCTATATTTTGGAGGACTAGAAACAATAGAGCAAACGTATTCTAGGATGTTAGATACTGTCACAATAGGCAACCAGCAATCCCTTTAGGATTCAAGCTGAGCAACTTTGTAATAAGATTTGATATGAGAGTTGAAAAGTGTTTGCAACTGCACAGACTGTGCTTTTGTTCAACAGAATTCTAATTTAAGTAGTTATTACTGAATGCTAAATTACAATGGCAGGCATATGGAACAGCCTGTAAGTTCATCATCAATTTTTCCCACAAAGAATATAATATTAATTCACTGCAATGCATGAGACAGAAAATGTTGCTTTCTCATATTTATTTTGCTGTAGATCGAGCAACAGCATCAATTTGTCATGTTGCCATGTTTTTGCTTTCTTCATTAAGATTTAAGAACATATGCAAGTGTAGGTGATCCTTTTCGAGGGAGGAAGGGATGACAGGGAGGAAGAGTTAATAATCTGTGTCATCATAAGTTTTCTACAAATCTATATTTCTATGATTTTGTAAACCTACCTTAGCTTTGAATCTCAGTGTAGACAACACAACATTAATTTTATCTTCAAAACACAGCAACACTCAGCTTCAAGATAGCAATGGAAAGAGTAGAGTGTACTTTGTATGAATGCAGAGAGGCTTAAATTATGCATGTAAAGTGAAAGTATAGACTTTCCTGTGAACCTCTGCTAGTACTGACCACATAAGAAGTGACTCAGAAGAGGGATTAATATGCATTTGTGTTTTCATTGATAAGAATATTGCTGAATAGAAGTACTAGTTCTCAAAATATGTCTTGGTACACTTGCTGTTATCTTGTTGACCCACTAACGCTCTCTGTTCAAGGAAAACTAATCGCTATGTTGTGGCCAAAGTTTCTGATTAGTTTAGTCAACAGCCTACAAATTATTTTTCTGCAATGTCATTGTAGGTTACAGTTCACTGAATAACCATGAAGTAATGGATGTCAGTGTAAAATCAAGTATATGGGTGAATGAGGTTATAATTAGCTGTTGGTAAGAAATAACTAGTTACAGTAAAAACTTTTGAGGTTTGGAAAGCAAATCTCATAAAGAATCACTAAAACTGATTTTTTACTTATGCATTACATGTTATCTTTTAGAATTAAAATTGCTGACAAGTTCGAGATCACATTAAGTATCAGGTATATTGTGTAAAGTATCATTGAGAAATATAAATTAAATACTGAATGTGCAGATGGTCTTTCTTAAATTAGTAGAGCAAGATATTCTTAAATTTTTAGAGCAAGATATCCATTACATTCAGTTCATTACTTTTGTTTTGCTTTGCTTTGCCTTGCTTTGGTTTGGAAGATTCCCAACCTTTAATAACGGACATATTTATTATTAGCTTTAAATAGAAAAATAATTATTTAGTAATAATGCCTTAAAGGAGAGGTCTACAAGTCACCCTGTAGGAGTGAAGTGGACTTAGGCCTTTTCTCCTTGTTTCAGTAACTCTATCTCCCACAACCCCATGTACTATAGTAGTTCCTGTTGTCTTGCTACTCTCAATTTCAGATGGGGGTTGTCTGAGGACTTATTTCTGGCAGTGGTGTATATCAGAGGATGCAGTTTATCTGAGGTGTGACTTATACCGGTACAGTGATTAATGAACCTCACTTTAAAATATTTGCTCGTGCTTTGATATGAATTTTTCTAGTTTTGGCATTGAGCTCGAGGGTGTTATCATGCCTTAATTCTGATAATTGAAACACCCATTTGTTACTAGAAATCTCACATTATCAAGACACCTTTTAACTTTCTCTTGAGTAAATTTTGAAAGTGTCTTATCCCACCTTAAGTATTCTGGACCCTTGCAATTATTTTTTTTTTCCCCTGAAGAGCAGAAGGTCAAAACGTTAATAATGCCAATTGTCCAGTTATTTGTCCGTGAACAGAACTCTCTTCTTTTGTGTTATAACCTGGATGCTCCAACTACATTTGTAAAAATCAGAGATTCAGCTAACTGCTTAAAAAAAAACCACTTGTGAGTTTGATTTTTACACAAGACCTGAACTTAAGCCCTTTAAAACATTGCTTACAATCCACTCTTTGCAGGTTTGAAAGAACAAAAAAAAAACCAACCTCTTTTGTGTTTGGTGAACATAATTTTACTGAAGTCAATGGTAAAGGTGTGATTGAATTTGAAGCAGAACTAGTCTGTTTTAGACTCTTCAGAAGGAATTATTTTCTAATTTCTGAAGCCCCTTTAGAACCCTCAGTTATAAACCTCTGTGTGTGAAGGAATAGCCATGGTGTTAGATCCACTTTGTCAAGTGTAGTGTAGGATTTCAGTCATTTATCACATCTCTGAGAAGTCTGAGATGCAGAAATTTGACACAAGAAGCTGCTAAATGGATAAGTTCTGAAAGAACATCATGTATCTCAATAATTGGAGTGTAGTGTTCTTGGGGAAATAGGCGATAAAATTGATAGTTCATTAAATAAATTAAGGTTTGCTATTACAGTTTGACTCCTGGCTGCCAGGTCTCTGTACAGTGCCATTTTCCTGCCTCTGTTGTGATCATTCTTTTTAAACGATGAACAGCATATCTGCTGAAATTTGTTTTGGCTTTTCAAAGTTTTATTTGATTAAAAAATCTCTAAAGCAAGCATGTACACCCAACCTGTTTGCACTTATGTACATACTTAGATGATTCTCTTCCTCTTCATTCATTCTGTGATATTTTTTTATTAACACATTTTCACAGAATCACTAAATCCCACAATGGTTGAGGTTGGAAGGGACCTCAGGAGATCATCCAGTCCAACCCACCTGCTCAAGCAGGATCATATAGAGCACATTGCACAGGATTGCATCCAGCTGGGTTTTGAATGTCTCCAGAGAAGGAGACTCCACAACTTCTCTGGGCAACCTGTTCCAGTGCTCTGTCACCCTCACAGTACAGTAGGTTTTTTTAATATACATTATATATATTTTTTCCTCAAATATTATATGTTTTATATATATACATATAAATTTCCTTTATATATATATTTTCCTTCAACCTGCAGTGTAAATGGATTTAGATAGATATAGTGAGTGAGAGAGGAATAATCGTATCACGGGCGTTGCAGACTGGCTTAGTAATAACAGTCATTTCCCTCTTTATGGGAGAGCTGAGTCTAAGGAGGGAGGGAGGTCGTTTTACTGAGAAAAAAGGACATGTGTTAGCTATGCTGAGCTTTAAACCCTGCTCTCCTTCACTAAGCTTCAAATATCTTGGACAGCACAATCTCTGTGTAACATTGGAGGCTTAGGAAGGGAACTGCCACAATTGTTTTTCTGTCTGGTTGAAAAAATTGGAAGAAATTGAATGTGCATGCAACTAAGGAAAAATCTGGAGGGTGTAGGTTGAGTCTTTTAAATTTAGTGAGCTTGAACTGATTATCTTAAGTGAAACCAACTTTTACTGCTGCTCTTCCTCTGGTGGAAGCCACTGATATTCAACAAGTTATAATAGTACAATTTACTGAAATAAAAGTAGCCTCATGGTCTTTGAGGAGTGAATACTCAGACTGTGCTACAGATACCAATACCTTCTGTGCTTGTAAATGCTCATCTTGTGCAATGGTAGTAGAATTTTTCTTGTAGACATATAATCATCATAATATTACTGAGATCCCCATTAACTCGGTGTTTTTAGGACCATTTGCATTGATAGCCACTAGCAAAAGAAACTTTAATCCTATTTAAAATTCTACAGTTTCACAGGAAATTTGTCTTTATTCCATGACAGAACTAGCTGTTGAGTACAGGAGTCTGTTCAGTCAAACAATTGGTTATTGCATGGAGAAGGGATAGGTGCTGTTCCCTAGACCATCAAAATGCCCATGTCAGCCCTTTCCACACCTCCACACTGGATGCCTGGACTTAAGAAAGCCATTGTTTCCAAATTAAAATCTGGCTGCTGAAGCAAAGAGTAAGCAAACCCTTAGCCAGGATTCCTAGGCAAAATGACAGTGTGGCAGACTGTCATTTCTGATGGTCTGAGTTCGTACAGGTTACGTGCAGGCTTACATTTTGATGCTCTCTGCAGAGGAAAAAAATATTTGTGTATATCTGCCTTTCGCTTCCTTTGAGTTTCCTTTTTATTTAAGGTTTCTTTTTAGTATTTTGTTCTTAAGCACCATGAATGTTTCCAGCCCCAACAGGATAAATTGAATGAAGCAACAGCATTGAATTGCTGTTGAACTGTTGAATTACCATCCAGCTTGCCTTTATTTCCCCACATTTATTGAACCATTATTGTTTCTTTTCTTAAAATGTCTTTTTCTGTTCCTTGTTACTTATCCCACTGCTTTGCTCACTCTTTGTACTTTTGTGACAGAGATGGAAACAAACAAAGGCTGCTTTTAAGATGAAAAGTCCAAAGTTGCTTTTCTTGGGCTTTGGTTTACCTGTTTCTTACCAGCATGAAAACTAAGTGGTCACAGTGTGGCTACCATTGTAGTGTGGTGGACATTTGGCTTTTATACAACACGACTTCATACATGAAGCTCTCCGGAATTTGCAGAAACTGATGTCTTTTTCCTTCAAATCTTGTAGAGTTTTTGAACATCAGTTAACTTCCTGAGCTGATGATGGCAACTGAGAACTCCTTTGTGAGAGACGATAAGGAATTAATCCAAATCAACTCTTTAATAAAAAAAAAATAAAAAGAGGAAATGCAGGATCAGAGTTATTTTCTCAGTCTCTCTGAAAACTGCAGTTAGAGAAAGGGTCAAATATAATTTTAAGTAAAAAAGATCTTTCCAGTGACTGACGAGATTGCCATTTATTCTGTTTTCAGGGTGGAGCAGAACATAATATTCCAGTGGTCATTTCTAAGATTTCCAAAGAACAAAGAGGTAGGTGTCAGATTAATATATTGTGTTTTGATGTGTTTCTTAAAGCAAGGTGCGTTAAGTCTTGAAATTCTTCAGGAAGTGATCAATAAATGCTCTTGGTGTACCATTTCTCTCTCCATGTCATTATGATCTCTCTCTTGTCAGAACTGTTCTCTGAAAATTACAGAATTTATATTTGGAATATTTTGTAAGCAATCTTCAACGTGATTTTTTAAAAAAGTTCTTGTAAAGCTTTTTTTTTTTTTTAAGGAGAGAAATAAAAAGGTATTTAGAGAATTAAATTATTTAAGAAATTTAACTGAATTTAATAATTTTGTGTCCTTTATTTTTCAATGGTTATTGTCAGGAAGCTGTAGCAGATCAAATTTTGGCCGTTAAAATATGATAACACAAGAAGAGTATGCACATCTTTTTACACTGGTTAGTAGGGTAATGCTCAGACAGGGGTGCGTAATGGCAGAACCTTGATAATACCCCTGTTTTTTCAGTATTAAGTGCTGTACTGTGTAAGCCTTTGCAGCAACTCATATATAGTAAAACTGATACTGCATAACGTCTTAACCATACTTATTTTTAGTGCATGCAAAGCTGGTGTTGAACCCCTGTATTGTTTTTAATAGGCAATGTTTTGAAATTATTGGAATGATATAATATGTGCAAGGAAGATGGATAATGGTTAGACAGCTCATGTTGTGCACAGTGATGAGAGATGAAGGTTATGAATCAATAGTAGTACAATGTATTTAAAATCTCTGTTATGTTTGTGTATATTAGTGTACACTTGTGTAAGGTCAGAAACATAAACTTGGGAGTATTTTCCTCCATCTGTATGCAATAGTTCTAGGATGGTGTTTCTGCACAATTAAAATGTGCCAGCATAAAACAAACTCTCATATTTACCCACACAGACAAAGAGAAGTACAGGGTAATCAGCATATAAAGAACTGAAAGCCAGTCTGAAAGGCAGATGTGAAAGTTGTGTGTAGGGAGGGTATAGAGTAGCATGGAATGAGCCCCTAAGGAAGGCAATAAGGTTAACCTTAAGAAGTTATACTTGTGACTCCATTCTTTTCAGTATACATGTAAGTATGTAATGCATAATAATGTGGCATATATTACCTACACTAGCTATTAAAATGTTATTAGGCACTGCAGGAAAAATAAGAAATACAGACACATAAAAGTGCACAATTTTTTTTTTGTTGTTGTTCTTTTGCTGCAATGGCTGATGCATTATTTCTAACCTCAATACCTAGCTGAGTTATAATCTCCATTACTGCTTTCAGTCTCTTGTGTAAGAGACTACTATCTTGTGTAGAAAGTGTTGTGCCATGTGTCTGTACTAGGGATCTTTGACACAGAGAATGGTGTTTGACCCAGAGCCTGTACCTCAAAGTTCTGCAGGCTCGGTTTTGCCCTCCTCTCAACTGACTCCAGCTCTTTCTTTGGACGTCTAAACAATAATGTGACATTTGATGCAATTCTTAAAACCAGTAGTGCCCATAAGGTCCTCAGGCTAGCACAGTAGGTCATATGTGAAGCGGTAGACGAAGAATATTGATATGCATTATTTCAGTAAAAATAAAACAATACATCAGAATGTTCATCCTCCAATAATTTAAGCATCCTTGTCTACACCTAAGTAATAAAACCAGCGCTTCAAACACATGCTTGAGTATCCTAATTTATGTCAGTATTGATTCCAGTTTTACAACTTATGTAAATAAGTAAAGTTTTTGGATCAAGTCAAATTCTAGTCTTTTCTAGACAGTATCTTCTCTGATGTTTTGTAATACTACAGATAAATAATCCCATATAGTCCGTTAACATTTCTTAGTTCTCATGTTAGGCATTATTTTCTTCTATATAGACACTTTGTTATATTTCTTGTGTATTTATAAAGTATATTTGCATTAGATAGCTCTGTAACACAACAGAATATTTAAAAATTGCAATTGTAGAGTTAGATTTTGTAAATTGTCTTGTGATTTATAGAGTACAGATTTGTTTTAAAATTCAAATTCAGTTTGGCTGGTGATTTTGTACAACGTACTGATTGTCTAGCTCTTCAGCATATAAAGTCTTACTCAGCATAAACATTCCACAGATTTTATCAAAGATGCAGGATCTAAAGTATCTTTAGTAAAAGCTTGCATGTAGGATCTAAAGTATCTTTGGTAAAGTTTACAAATTAAATTTTTCTTTCATAAGTAGCTCTGGAGTCTCCATGTTATTTTTTCCTCAGTTTGTAAGAAATTACCTCTCACAGACAGATAGAACCTAGTCCTGCAGTCATTTTTCTGTTCTGAAACGTATGCCATAACTCACCATAATGGCCTGGAAGGTGCTAGTGATGGATGGAAGACGTTTCATGGTCTTGTACCTGGGCTGGGTAGATTCTTTCATAGTAACACTGAAGTTGTGTGTTGCAGTTTTTTATTAGGTTCTGTTTAAAATTTTAAAAGATTATATATAAAAAAAGTGTTAAATAGGAATCTGTGTATAAGAAATCTAGGAGGTTTTATACAAAATGAATGAAAAATATGCTTTCTATTTTCAGCGGAACTTTCAGGCTTGCTCTTTATAGGAGATGCAATACTACAGGTGAGTAAAATTACAAGTTTTTTCATTTATGTTTTTCAAGAAAAGTGAAATGAAATCTATGCTTATGAAATGTAGAGTAAGTCTTCTCTTTGTCTTTTTAACAACAGATTAATGGAATTAATGTGAGAAAATGCAGGCATGAAGAAGTGGTGAGCTTTTCTGTTTTTTAGTCTACTTTTTGTGTTTTATAGGTGTTGAGATAGTGGTAAATGCTGATAGCAGCATGCTGGTATCAGTTGCGTTACTGTTATTGCTAAGCAAATATGACTGTACCTTCTAGTAAGGCAAGCAACTCACATCTTAGTGCAATCGCTTCTTCATAAGTTTGTTGTAATTGCTCTTCTCAAATAGGCTTTTCTGGATTAAAGATGATTATTGAATTATGCAGATTTGAGCTGTACATATTCTGATACATCTTCTTCTGGTTTATAGGTATCAAATTTCAGCAGTGCTACACCTTTCCAGCTCTGTGAGGTCGTTTTCATTTCAAAAGCTGTAGTTTGCAGTATGTTAGAGATTTGTTGTTTGGTTGTTTTTAATCCTATTTCAAAATGAAACAAAACTATTTATCTGCCTTTCATTTTCTGGCTGTTACTTCACAGAATCATAGAATTATAAAATAGTTTTGGTTGGAAGGGACCTTAATGATCATCTAGTTCCAACCCCCCTGCCATGGGCAGGGACACCCTCCACTAGCCCAGGTTGCTCAAAGCCTCATCCAGCCTGGCCTTGAACCCCTCCAGGGATGGGGCATCCACAGCTTCTCTGGGCAACCTGGGCCACTGCCTCACCATCTCCGTGAAAAATTTCTTCCTAATATCTAATCTAAATCTGCCCTCTTTCAGCCTGAACCGTTACCCCTCGTCCTCTCACTCCACTCCCTGATGCAGAGTCCCTCCCCATCTCTCCTGTAGCCCCCTTCAGGTACTGGAAGCTGCTTTAAGTTCCACTCGGAGCCTTCTCTTCTCCAGGCTGAACAACCCCAACTC